CAAAGATTCACTTGGCCTATTACCATCGCTGGCACGCATCTCACACGCCGGCTAAATTTTTAATTTCAATCCCCGGTTGAGGGAGACCTCGGCGGCACTGTTGAACGCCACACGAGATGATGATGGTGATGATGATGACGTACTTCTCTCCCATTTCCCTAATGCTCTTTTAAAACGGTCCTGCTATCTTGAATTTCGGCACATGCGGTAACGGATCACTAGCCAGACGTGAGGCCGGCGAAAACCCGGTAAATCTACCGTTTCTAATGCCAGGAAATCAGGCAGACCATTTGCATTATTTATCTACCGCAGTTTGCCTCTCAATTGAACTTTTAACTTATTAACGCTTCAACGCCTCTTCTCGATTTACTCCGAGGCAAAAAAAAAGCGGCCACCCTTAATATCTTTATTATCTCTTAGATAATGTTCCATTGATTATCTTTCAACAATATTTGGTCCGTTTTAAAGGATTAGAGGTAAATAAAACACAGATAAAATCTCCCACTTGTGTTTACAACTGGATTTTGTAAATAAATCTTTGAATAGTCAATCTCTTTTTTTTTGCTTTTCTGTAAAGCTTCTTTCCAACGTTCCAGTGGTTTGATTTTTTTTAACTTGCACCATTTTTAAGTTTCAAATTTGTTTGAGTGGTTTTAAGTGATACATATTAGATTAGAATCATAGCATTATTATAGAAGATGGAACAGGGTCCGAAGGGTCTTCCATCGCTACCTTACTGGAAGTTAGCAAGAAAGCATGGATCATGTGCCATCGTGTCAGAGAGCTGATCGTTTTATGGAATGTACTCCGTAATCGACATTCAAGCGCTGTTGAGATCATGCAATAACTTAAATAAGTTAGAAATCTTAATGTCAGCATTCGCACTGTCAAGAGAAGACTTTCAGATGCTGGGTTAAGGTGCGAGAAGGCCTGCCACTGGTCCAGAACTTCCAAGCTGAGCAAGGTTGGACTAAAATCTTGTTTTCGGATAAGTCAAGGTTTTGTTTAAGGGCGAGAGAGGGTTTGGAGCAGAACAGGAGAGCGATATGTCCCAGCAACATTTTGACTCCGGAAAAGCTAAGTCATGGGCAACGAAAGCGCCATTGTCCAATGTTCTATTTGTAAGAAATTTTACCATGCGGGCATTTGCTCGTCAATTACTAAAGACAGTTGGACTAAATTTTGGCAAAAAGAAGTAGTTGGTTAAATGAATTTTTTAAAAAGAAAAAAGTTTATGATAATTATAAATATGATCTTGGATAGATTAAATACTTTAGAACGAAAGTCAGGACGACAACAACAGGATTTTGAAACTATTAGGAGTGAGAGCCAAGAAATTAAAGACAAATTATCCGTAGTTTTGAACGAAATGGTAAGTATAACTAAAATATGGTGGGCCAATCCCCCGCAGGTGTCCGTTATGCTGATAAAGGTTCTTCGTTGTGTCCTACATAGTCGAAGCGTGTCGTGCCTTGGCTCCCTATAAGGCGCGAGTAGGCATGCCGCCAGATTTAAAGAGGGTTCTCGGACAAAGCAGCTAGTTTCAGGGTCTTCTATTTCGCTTTTAAAGAATTGGTATTTTTTTATTGTATATAGAACTAAAGTTATGTTTTGTGTTTCTGTGTCTTGTATGAGTGAATGTATGTATTTGTGTGAATGGGGAGGGGCTGATGGCGAAGTAGCTTCTCCATCGCCTCTCAGGTTGTGTGTAAGACTTGGGCTTATAGCGGAAATTTTATAAAAATACCCCATTGACCCCAATCTAGATTAGTTTATTATAGGGAACAGGTAGATGGGGGAATATCGAGTACTCCATAACAGTATGGAAAAGAGAGAGAGAGAGAGAGAGAGAGAGAGAGAGAGAGAGAGAGAGAGAGAAACTAAATAATGGCGTTTCTGGGAACGAACAGTTAGATGTTAAACACGTCCTCTTAATAAAGCCCGAAGCAACAAAAGTAGAGGAGCAAGTAACGGCAAGGAAAAATGGGATTTGAGACGGAGTTGTCAGAAGAAGTTGTTCCTTATATGCCACTAATTACTATTTTATGTTTTTAGTTAAGGAAGTTAACTATTTGATGGATATTGTTACTAACATCATATAATTTCTTATCCTTACATTCTGTTATACAGAAGAGCTTAACGCCTCCTTACTAAAAAATAGTTATAACATGAAAAAAGTATTTTGCAAAGTGATTTACAAGTATATAATATTGTGCTAATAATTTAACGGATCTATTATGAGAAGAAAACATCTTACAAACTTAAAATAGTCAATCAGATAGAAAGAAACTATTTTAAAAATATAACCCCCCCAAAAAAAGCTATTGCAAAATGTTTGAATAGACAGGTAAACTATTTTTAAAATATTGCACAAATTGTATACGTTTCTGCTGTAACTGCTGAATGATTTGCAGACAGGCAACAAATTCTACTAGTATAAATTTTTATCCAGGTTGATTGAAAATTTTACTAGTAGCTCAAAACTAGGCTCAACAAAAAGGGTTTTCCATAAAATCATCATGTGGATCATGTCCAGAATGAGCTGGTGAACGTGTCGGCTTAGCTCTAGAGAACGTAATAAAACACAGTCTACACAGCATAGCTCACACTGAGGATAAGGTCGGGCCGGCATTATGCAAAATGGACGTTTCCATTTAGTCAGATTAAAGATTTTGATCACCCCGAGTAAAGTCTTTCTGGCCTCACTGTCTTTCGGCACACGTCGACATTCAATGATCGTCCAATGGAGACATGTATGACCCGTTCCAAAACCACTGGTCTTTTATGGCAAGGATTACAACAATGTACTTTTACTTCAATGTTAAATACAATTATACCATAAAGTACAAAGCATGTTAACATGGTGAAGTTTTCTTTTACAATGCAAAACAACACGATTAAAAGATTCACTTGTTAATTTCTTATGGTGCTTGTTTTACATCCGAAGTTTTTTTTTTATTTTACTTTTAAATAAATTAAATTTTAATTATTTGAAAACCTATGAGTTCGCCAAAACCATTAATTTTTAGTTAATCGTTTAACCGACAAGTGTCAGATAATTTCGGCTTGTTTGTCGGATTTCAACTCCTGTGTTTTCCCTTCAATTCCGCTCCGTTTCCTCCCTTGGTTGATCTCTAAAGTCTTTCGTTTTCTCTTGCGCTAAGTTCAGCGAAAAGTATTTCCCATCCGGTTCCCTCTTGTGTTTCATCTGAATAACCCGCTCAAACCATTGGAAGGAATTTTCATGGGTTCTCATCCGCAAGAATTAGGATACGAACAATCGAAATTCCGGGCGCTTGGAGGAAGAGGTTGAATTATTTTTCCTTATTGGAATTTTCTGACGGGCGGAAGTTGGTGTCTACGTTTCAACGGCTAGTTTCATTTATATGTTTAATCCTTGGCTCGACTTGCAATATTCAATTTATTATACACGATTTTTCGAAATGAAACAGTTTGTGTCAAAGTCGGGATTCGAACTCATATCTTTGAATAAATACCCCGATGCTCTACAATTTGAGTTTCCGTGACTTCGATCGCCCATGCCACAAACTTCTCATTTCGACTTCCCTTTTATTCCAATTGTATTAGATTGTGTGTAATAAAACTTACCCTCATTGTACATACAGCTTTGAAGTGAAGTAATGATTTTTTATGAGCTATTTCCACATGAGATATTTTATGATGATCAGTTGAATGAACTCTTGTAAGCTTGCTTGAAGGACATTTCATGGGTCCTCACCGCAAGAATTAGGATAGGAATAATCGAAATTCCCGGCGCTTGGAGGAAGTCGTTGAATTATTTTTCCTTATTGGAATTTTCTGGCGGGCGGAAATTGGTGTCTACATTACAACGGCTAGTTTAATTTATATTTTTAATCCTTGGCTTAAACAACTTGCAATATTCAATTTGTTATACACGATTTTTCGAAATTAAAAATTTTTGTCAAAGTTTATTATTATTAAGTAGTAAGCTTATTCATCATTGGTATCACTTAAAAATTATTTTTCGTCTCCCTAGTAAAGATGTAACACCCAATCGTTTGTGGGTTATTATTATTGTTTCAGAAGTCATTATTTCAACAAAAATGTACATAATTATAATTAATATTTCATGAAAAGGCAGAATGGCCCAGGACCGTTGTCATCTATTGTGGGGTACGTAAATTTGATCAAATCTTACGTCAATCAAATATATTGGTCTGAACCGGTGTGGCGAATATACAATTGAATAAAACAAATAAAACAAAATAAATGTTTCTGAAGCTCTGTACTTTTAGGTTTCCTCAAGAGAAAACCACTAAAGATTCCCAAAATTCTAGATTCAGTGAATTTATTTATGTGGATGATAACTCATTTGTTCTTTACAATGTCAGCTATCTTAGGGCAAAGATAAAAGGTGGTTTCGGGTCCTTTTATGTGAAGATTTAGAACACAATTTTGGTTCACAGTTCTAGGTCATTTTAAAAAATTTTAAAAACCAGACAAAAGTTGTTAAAAATGTTATCTATTATACCTAATCCATTTCCGCGTTAATAAAACTTTATTTTTTATCCCAACCAATACCTTACATAAAGATTAATTAATTGAAAAAAGTTATTCGGTCAACGAACCACGCACTCTAATGAATTTAATAGTAATCTTAATAGTAATAATATATCTTCACGAAAGCTCTCCGTGACCTTTTCATTTGTCGCCTAGAATCGAATAGATTACACGACATTTGAAAAATGGCAAAAGGACGGAAAATTCGAAAGATGGGGTTGAGATGGGAAGTTAGAGTCCGAGTGCATCGAAGTCACGATAGCTCAAGTGATAGAGCAGCGGCGTATTTAGCCAAAGGTCGTGGGTTCGAATCCCGCTCGTGACGCTGACTTTTCTATCTCAACCAATACCTTACATAAAGATTAATTAATTGAAAAAAGTTATTCGGTCAATCGGAACACGAACTCTATGAAGTTATTTTTTAAATCAAATGTACAAATATGATTGTCTGTTGACAGCAGGAGAACGAGACACACGGGCAGTATGGATACAACGGACTCCAGAGGGGTGATTGGAACGATGTCATCTTACCAAACATGCCGAGTGGACACTACACTCAACACATGTCGTACATGATCCGAGGACTCGAACCGGCGGTGCAGTACGAAGCCAGAGTGCAAGCTAAGAACAGATTCGGATGGAGCCAGATGTCGGAGGACTTCCTTTTTGTCACGAAGGGAATAGGTCAGTACCCAGGTCAGTTTACATTTCCCTCTCTTTCAATGTTGATGGTCTTGCAACTGACCGATCCTCGAATATTTTTCCTGTTTCGTATTTATTACCCTAAACTCGCTTCTTTATTTATTTACGTTTTTGTTTGGTCGTTGATTTCGTAAAGGCCCTATCCTCCATCATAATTATACTGTTTCATTGTACAAGTAAATCACTCCCGCCCTTTTTAATATACAAATAATGCGATTATAAAGCAATGGCGCGTATGCATGATCGATTCCTTCTCTTAACTGAAAAGCAATTGCATTAACCAATCTCCCGAAAGCAGATGCGCGTATCTTATAATCCGATGAGGCCAAATGAAAGACAATGCGGCATAAGCTGCAAAAGACCCTGTTCATCCAGTTTGAAAACCAGCCGTGGAGAAAGTGCAAGATTTCCGCATGAAATATGGCCCAAATCGCTTAATGTCTCAGCAAAATGTAAACGCTTCTTGCTTCGTTAAACCGGCCTTATAAACTATTAATTTTTTGCATAAGTTTATCTGCTATAAAATAATAACATTTCATTCGGCTGTGCAGAAAAAACCTGCCGTGTCTACAAATGACTTACTCTTCGTACAATTAAATACAAACATAATTTACCTACCCTTCCTGCGATGTCATACGAAATCATCTCTATTTATATTTATTTTCTGTTCAAATTATGTTTTTTTTCATACATTTCTGACTGTTTGACCTACTGGCTATTTTTTCGTTTTTTTCCACCAGGTGATATTGAGCCTCCCTCTTCACCCGCAGTTTTATCAGGTCAGTCGCCATTCCCGAAGAGACACGAAGTAACTCTTTAGAAGGGTTTCATCTGGTTTTGTGTTTCCTCTCTCACACTCTCTCTTTTCTCTCTCTCTCTCTCTCTCTCTCTCTATCATTCTGAATTTATATTTAGTTTGCGTTGTTCCGTTTCGTTCTACTTGTTTTTGCTTTAACATGCATGTCGTTAAGAAACCAGCTTTTTTGCATCAATGCTCTCTTTTCTGTTTTTCTAACGCCTACTTCACATTTCTATAATTATAACAGTGCACTTTTTTCTGTATGGCTGACTTATTTTTGGATTAGAATTAAAATACGATGAATATCAAACTTTTACGTTTCTTTTCAAATTGGATTTAAAAGTTTGCAAACAAATTTAATTGGAGTTTACGAAAGAAAAGCGTATAATTAAGCAATTTTATGCTACGTACAGAATTACTGTGTTTCACAGCCTTACGCCTGCTTAAGCGGGGAACGCTTCCCGATGCAACTCTATGCGACGCTGCCCGTGCTACCCGACGCAAATCCAAAGTCCAATTTTCCATAAGGTTGTATTACCCCCGTGCACATCTGCCCGATGCAACGCAACGCTACCCTACTCTACGCCCTGCCTTCCCCATTGTCCAGATTTTCGTTGGGTAGCATCGAGTACAGTCTTAGACAAAAGAACCGGACACTCATATTTTTATTCAAACTACATGTATTATTGTCGTTATATTAATTACAACATACTAATTTTAATATAAACCAAATTAACCCAGATCAAAAATTCATTAGTTTTTATTTTAAAAAATTACTTTTAATGGTTTGGTAAAAAATTTATCAAAACACCGGAATATCATTTTTTGATATGATGAATTTAACTAACAATTTATTGCACGATTTTGCTCATAAAATTTAACTAACAATTTATTTCATGGTTTTGCTAATACACCATTTTCGTCGAGTAGCGCCAAACAGGACACTCATATTTTTTGTAGTTTATTTCAAACTATGTTTATGTAATTTTGTCGTTATATTAATTACACCGTTCTTATTTTAATATAAACCAAATTAACCCAGATCAAAAATTCATTAGTTTTTATTTTAAAAAATTACTTTTAATGGTTTGGTAAAAAATTTATCAAAACACCGGAATATCATTTTTTGATATGATGAATTTAACTAACAATTTATTGCACGATTTTGCTCATAAAATTTAACTAACAATTTATTTCATGGTTTTGCTAATACACCATTTTCGTCGAGTAGCGCCAAAGGACACTCATATTTTTTGTAGTTTATTTCAAACTATGTTTATGTAATTTTGTCGTTATATTAATTACACCGTTCTTATTTTAATATAAACCAAAAGATCAAAGATCAAAAATTCTTGAGTTTTTATAAAAATTATTTAATTATGATGGTTACGCAGAAAATTTATCGAAACACCGGAATAACTTTATTTAAAACAATTAAATTTAACGAACAATTTATTGCTTGGTTGTGCTCATAAAATTTAAATAACAATTTATTACATGATTTTGCTCAAAATAATGCATTAAGAACAAAAGAGGCGTTGCGATTGTGATACACGCTGTGTGACTACGTGGCGTGCGCTTGACGTCGTATAGATGTGCACACCCTACCAAAACCTGGCAAGGCGTCGGGTAGCGTCTGTAGCGTTGCATCGGGTGTGTTCCCGGCTTGCTTTGCTTGTTTGGCTAAACGCTGAATTTTTTATCTGTGTTGATCGATCTGAATATTGTAAAATCCAAACGTTTATTGAACGAATATGTGGCCTTAGAATCAAACCCGACACACTTACAAATGGTTTTTTGTTTTGTTTTTTTCAAAAACACCGGCACTTTGAGGGTACATATAACCACGTAGTTGAAATATATATAACATGTAAATAATGTATGTAAGAGTGAGTGAAAGTGAATGGGTTTGGATTTAGAAACGTATGGTGTTGGGTGTTGAAATGACCTACCTATTGAAAGCACCTTGAGCCCATCCTCGGTGGCGGACGGGTTAGGCCTAGGTCTGACCTCGTACTGCCATCACCCGAGGTGGGTATCCTCGATCCTGCCGGTTATTTATTGAAAATTACAAAAGTTGGAAATGCCGGTGGACTGCGAGAAGTGATATCCTCAACACGGTATATGCATGTGCAAATTTGAGCTTATATAAATCAGTAATCAATAATCAATAAAAAATGCTACATTGTATTCTAACAGTTTCAAACATCAATTGAAGTTAATTGTATTTGCTAAATAAATGGTTTCTTGCAATAGTTAAATAAACTGAAAACCAAATGTACAAACTACCCAAACAATTAAGCACGTGAGGTGTTGGGCGTTGGAATTTTGCACTGGTTTTGATATTAGCTCATTCTTAAAGGTTGTGATTTGCGAGTTCGCATTTTCTATATTCTATCAATTTTTAATTTTTATTTTCTTAATCGATCATCTTTTTACGCAGAACCAGAAATGCGAGACATGGGAGTGAAGGCGTTCGGCACTGCATCACAGCGAACTGTCGATGTTCTCTTCATCGCGATGTTGCTGTTGATCCTGGCGGACAGATGGTTCTAAAAAAATATACAGGTGATTTTTCCCCACACACAGCACTAAAACATGTAGACTGCTTACGTAACAGCTTGATTGAAACAGTATTTACAAATCCATGAAATATAATTTTACACCCTTTCTTTGTGATCATTCGTATTACAGAGTGCATGAAATCGTTCAAATAAAAAGTAAAACAACTACTCGGCTATATTATAAATATAATAATGTTCATAATGTCTGATAAAAAATTACTGTTATCCTTCTCACATAATCCTTATAATTATATAATTCATGGAATGTAAAAGTCACAACAAGAAGGCTAATAATTTTAAAATGACCGTCACAAATTAAAACGAAAATACCCATAGCTGATTTTCTAACTCATTTGGAATTATTTGTTTTTAGTTGATGGAAAAGAAGATTAGAACAACCCTCGGCAGACCACATTACTCCTGAAACGTACGACTTTGACAACCAACTAATCCACATTGTGTAGAGATAAAGACAGTCACCCCTTTCAATCCAAATATATAATAAACAGGAAGAAAACGGAATATAAAAGACTATCTAAACTTTTGTATAAAAAGTGCTTTGTACGAAAGTGCGAAAATGGATCAATCGTCATGTTATTCGCGTTTTATTTCTAACGGACTTTCGACTGTAACATTTTTTTTATTTGCTTGTATAAATGTAATTGATTAAGATGTGGAGTAATTTCTAAACCCTTCGTCCATTTTCTAGACCTTGCTGTGAATTCATAGTAATAAAGAAACTTTTCACTTATTATGATCTTAATACAAACCCTTAGATGGACTTTAACAAGGATTGCGGCAAGAAACCGCAAATCCTACCCTGATAATATTTGTATAATTTCTAATAGAAAAAATAAAATCTATAAAAAAAATTATGTGTTAAAAATGAAAATGACTAACCAAGTTTCGGCTTAAGAGAAAAAAATAATTGTAAATAATTCCTATTTGAACGGGAAAACTTTCTAGTCATAGTTGGCCGTTCAAAATTAGTCAGTTCTTCTTTTCTATCTTTTATATTTAAAAAAAAAGACTTTTTGATGAAAAAATAAGCAAAATTTTTTCCGTAAACTGCAATTTAATAATTTTCACAAAATGTCATAAAAAGAGCACTCGTTCGGGTTTTTCTTATATAAAAATGTAAATAAGAAAGAAAATATAAAGATTCGCCTAAGTGAGAAATAAATGTAACTATACAGACGAATACACATTGTGAATGATGCGGCCGAATTCCTTGTATTTCAATAAAGAATTTGTCATTTAACCCACGTTGTACATAAAAGCGAGAATGTGATTTTGGTCAATTATTAATTATTTGTTTTTTTAGACGTTTTTAAATTTTAAAAAAATTGAAATATAATTTAAATCATTATTCCTTTCTCAATGACAACACTTTCCAATTTTGTTCACAGCGTGAATTAAATACTTTTTTATTCATTTTATACTGTTCACATATTTAATTGAGCACTGTACTAAGAAGTATGTTCACATTTTACAATTCTTTCGATATTGTAATATGTTAGTAACAGTTAGTTTTATAAAAAGTAATCGTTTAAATATTATGGTGTTTTTGTAGTAATAGTATTAATTAGATGTAGCTATTATCTTTTGTGATATTCTCGTTGGTGTTCATATTGAAATTTTTTAAGAAATTTAACGCTTGAATTATCTTAAACCTACACTGACTTGAATTGATTTTTTTACCGCAATATGCATTTGTAACTTCATTTTTCTTGAAATATTTTAAAATATAGAAGAATTTCGATTTAGTGTGAATTTTTGAATTTAATGTTACAACAAATTGTAAATATGACTAGTAATTATAGTGTTATACTTTTAAGAATGATAAGTGAAATACTAGGCTGTTCGGTCGCATTTCTTAAAATAGCACTGTAAAATAAATGATCTCTATGTGTGTGTATTATGATGTTAAATCGGCAATGATCGTGTTTTCATATGTGAATAAAAAAGAAAATAGAAGATGAAACAATCTAATTAATTTTACCAAACAAATTAGGGAAATTTTCCCATCAATTATATTTTAAGAAAACTTTCTTGACACTTAGATTTATATTTTATTTAAATAAAAAGTTTAAAAAAAGAAAAGATCTTATTGACACTGTTGAATGTAATGAAGAGAACATAAAAACATTTGAATCCGTTTCTCTGATATATAGTAAAAATATGCTTGTTGCATTTTAAATCAAGGAGTTTTCCCATAGTGTATATATGGTAATTTTTGTATCCAACCTTATAAGTTAAGAGTTATAAATATATTGATAACCAAAAACTATATTTTTAAGAGAAATGATTCTTTTTCAAATTTTAATTTGTTAAGGGTTTTTGTGAAAAATGTAGCATGTGCCACTTTGAAGATAAAGATATTTTGAAACTATCAGTTGATGTGTATTGTTCTTGTGTTTAGAACGAAAAAAAAGTTTAATTGTACAAAGAATTGCTTTAAGTGTGTTCCCTTTTTAAAAGATTATGCAGAGCTTGACTACATTATATTTCGGTGTTTAACTTTGTAAATTTAAATGTGTGTTATTTAAAAAATAATAATAAGGAAAATGTTAGTTGTGGCAAAATAGCGTTTTACATCTGCAACATAACATTTTAAAAACATATTATAATATATTACTATATCAAATACAATCCTTGTGATTTATTTTGTAAATGTATGATCAGTAAGAAAATAAAATGAAAAATATAAAAAGAGTGCTTATTTTAAACCAATTTTTTAAATCACAATTATTATAATAATAAAAACAACATTTTAAAATATACAATTGTTTATTTGTAAATCCATATTAGTCAGATATATGAAGAGAATGTGCAAAAAATGAAATGATGAGAATGTTCTGACTTACCGAATGTTAACATTCTCATCTTTACGATCTAGACTAATTTCGTTGAAATTCTCCAGCGGATAATCTCGGCTAATTTCGAAATAAGTTATCTCCGATAGCCGACACAAAAATATTGGACCCTTACGTGACCCTAATCTTTGGATTTAAGATAAGAGATTTAAAACTGTTTTGTGTCAGACCCGTGGAACCAAAGGTCGTATTAAGATCGCAATTGGTTTCCTCCCACGCTTGTACGTTCAAAACAATGCCATTTTAGTTACATGACTAATTTATTTTATAATTTATATTGTATTATATACATCCAGGTTGTTCATAGTTTTCATCCTCAATATCATCACGTCTCTCTATTCTAATTCAGTTTTAAATTAAAAAATTTTAAACTTTCGTAGAGTACGGAAAGTTAATTGGCGCAGTCGGTATGACGGCTAACGTTTTGAAATTAAATTCAATAGTTTTCGTGGTCCGCTTGACCAATTAATATCTTTCAATTAATTAAGGTTTTTAATTGAGATAAAAAGTCATTGGCTAGATACTCCGCTGCTCTACCACTGGGCTATCATGACTTCGATCCACTCGGACACTAACTTCCCACCTTAACCTACCTTTCGAATCTTCCCTCCTTTTTGCCATTTGTCGCCGAGAATCAAAAAGAATACACGACATTTGAAAAATGGCAAAAAGGAGGGAAAATTCAAAAGGTGGGAAGTTAGTGGCCCAGTGGATCGAGGTCACGATAGCTCAAGTGGTAGGGAGAGCAGCGACGTATCTAGCCTAAGATTGTGGGTTCGAATCCCGCTCGTGACATTGACTTTTTTATCTCAACCAAAAAACCTTACAAAGAAAGAATAATTAATTAAGAGAAGTAAGTTGGTCAATTGATCACTAAAACACAAATGGATTAATATTTAATAAGTAATAGAATGATCACTTCACTAAAAGCTCCCCGTTGCCACTTCATAAGTCGCCGAGAAGTGAATCCTGATCACACGACATTTGAAAATGGCAAAAAGAGGGAAAATTCGAACAGTTGTAGGTTGAGATGGTGAGTTGGGATCCGAGAGGATCGAAGTCACGATAGCTCAAGTTCGGCATATTTAGCCGAAGTCGTGGGTTCGAATCCCGCTCGTGACATTGACTTTTTTATCTCAACCAAACCTTACCTTAAAACCTTACATAAAAAGAATAATTAATCGAAATTTTATTTAACTATAACTCAATTATAATAGAGAGACGTGATGATATTGAGGATGAAAAATATAAACTACCTTGATGACTCGATGCAACTAATCTTTTGTAATTTATTAATGCTACATTGGAGGAGAAACTTAATAATTCTTACACTTGTTCTAGGAATAATTGTTAACCGGCACATGAACAGAGATAAATTTGATGTAACAACTCCCTCCACAAGTTCGAACTTCCACTAAATCAATTAAAATTCACAATTTATAAAAATATTCATCAACGTCTCAGATAAATTTTATAACATTCGTACAGTAATTAAGTTTACATTAGAATGATTAACGTAATTACTCGTTAGTATATTTGTCTATATTACATTTTCAGAGCATCAGCAATTGTTGAATATGTTAATATACAATCCGAAAATAATGAAATATTCTTCTAAAAGATATTTGTATTAAGAACAAAGTATTTTTCCCCAAACAGTTTTTTTTTTCAATTCATCAAGAATCATGCGAAGCAGACATTTTGTTGAAGGGATCCAGCCCAATATGCACGTACACTGAATTGGTAATTCAAATTAATTTAATAACTTTTAATGCAGAAATTAGCCAATTCTTGTCCATTTTTGTAGAACCAGAGACGATACAATTCTTGAATTCCGTGGAAGGGAGGTCTCTAACAGGAGGAGTATTCCAAATTAAAGCTGCTGCCTTGGCACCTTGCCTTCAGAAGTAAATTCACCTACGAATCAATTTCACATAAGAAGCCGGTTCAGATACAATACACCAACCTCATACCTCATCCTGAGCAACTTCCAGACGTCAGAATTACACTTAAAACATTTAATCTGAAAAATATCTCCATCGATCCTGTAAATGAAATTCCCACAATCCCAACAATTTACTATAGCACAAGTTGGTGGAAATTGTTCCTGTAAGTTTTAATATCAAAACATGTATATGGGTTGGTGGCCGCAACGGTTTAGGCGTTGACACGGCGCTTATCACTGGAAGGTGAAGGTCCTGGGTTCGAATCCAGCGGCCCTGCATTCGAATCCGACATACTTACAAATGGGCTTTTTTTCAAAAACACGGCACCCTGAGGGTTGATATGACCTCTGCTGATGCGAACCCCCGTAAAAAAATACAAATGAAAAAACATGTACAATTATTTTCTTCAAACAAAAACAAATATTTATAGTAAACAATTCAAAAAATGTAAACCATATGCTCTGGAAATGTAATAACGAGTAAATTATATTTATCATTGTAATGAAAACTTAAATAATGTACGAATATCATAAAACGTATTATTCCTAGAACATGTTAAGCATTATTAAGTCCCGCTTTCTCCCCCTGCAATAACATTAGTAAATTATAAAAGATTAGTTGCATCGAGACATCTAGGTTATTCATACATTCCATCCTCAGTATCATCACGTCTCTCTATTGCAATTCAGTTATAGTTAAATAAAATTGTTTGTTGAGTACGAAGAGTTGGTTTATACACATAATAAATATCTTATACGTATATATATTATAACATTAATATTACATATTTGTTATATAACATTACTGTTACATAACATATATCTTTTGTTTTTTATAAATAGTTTTGCTTAGATCAGATATGAAGCCGCAAAATTTAAGTCCAATAATACTTGCTGTATCACTAATTAGATAAACAAAAATTTTGTCATAAAAAAAACCCACTACATATGTATTAATATAAGTAGTTATATATAGTTTTACTTGAAAACTCCTTTATTTATATAGTCGAATTGTCAGGGTTTTTTTATGATATTGGCTTTATCGTTCTAACGAACCAAGCCATAAAAATTATTCTCTTATTCTCAATGACATCAAATGAATTGCATATTATTTGAGTGAAGTCTGCTTTTTGAAAGTAATGTTGCTTCATGTTTTCCATCTGGGATTAGAGTTTGAACGTTGAATGCGGGATCCATCGTTTGTTCCAAGAAATACACAGTTATTTCGAGTAATTAATTACTTATCTATTCAACGAAAAACTAAATTACTAATCATCAAAATTAATATATTCGTACAATTGAAACAATTCTGAAATGAGAAAATTTGCCTCTGTTTTCACATCATAGCACTATGTTCGCTCGATCAAATGCTCTTAGGAAGTTGTGAAAAACGCAGTTTTTTGAACAATGTTTTTAGTTTCCAATATCTCTTGTTACAAAAACAACACTATCTAAATTAGTCCACAATGTATGATCCATTGTTTACAACAACGAATCGCCGGAGATATATATATATATATACTACATAATACATATGTTGACACGGCGCTCAACGCCTAAACCGTTGCGGCCACCGACGCCCCTTCCACTAATTTTGTCGTTCGCTAAGTTCTCCAGTCCCATATTTACAAATGGGCTTTTCTCAAAAACGCCGGCACACGTGGCATACTACCAGTGCTGTTTATAAAAAAGTGGCACCGAGTTCGAACCCAGTGCAGAGAGTGGGCTTTTTTTACATGGGAGGAAGTTGATTTAACCTCTCCTGTTGTAAATGTTATGTATACATGTTGGATTGTATGATATTTACTTTTTTTGGTTTTCTATTTTGTTAAGTAAACACATTGATTCATTCATTCTATTACTCGATGCACATTTAGACACAATTCTTAATATGCGTTTAGTAAAATAAAAACCTTGATTCTTGAAGAACTTATGGATTATCAGAAGTGAAGGGCAAATGGCCTGAACTTCATAAAATCCTTACAGGCGAGTCTAAATCGTTAAAATGAACTTGGTGCCTCTTTTTTAGCCTACCAAGTGATTTACAGTATTACACATAGTGACCACGACTGTTTTTTTTAATCTTTTTTTAATTAAGCATTTTTACAATCAAATACAATTTTCGAACGGAAAGATAGTTTAAAAAGATAGTTAATTGATTTCGTTCGTAATCTGAGTCTTGTGAGGAAAATCTTAATAACACAATAATTTTTCCTGTTCGTAGTTAAGAAAGGTAATAAATATTGTTCTAAATTTAGTAAAAAGAAAAGTTGATTCTTTATTATATTATAACAAAATCATTAGTATCAAAATATTAATTTTCTCAAAAATATTTTCAACACAAAATATTAATTAACTTCTAGGAGTTACTGTCTTCCTTTTATTTTTTATTCACTTAGTAAAAACCCAAGTTGAACTTCCTCTTCTTATTGCTCTGGATCTTTTGTTTAGTAAACGTTCTCAGCAAGTCTTTAGGAGAAGACCATCTTTTCAGCCATCTGAAATGAGTCAAGTACTATTAAAACCCGCCCGGAGTGTACTTGAGTCACAAAAGAGCCGACCTGGTTGGGATGAGTTGATTTATATTTGATAGACTAACTTGAGATAAAACAATACATGAAATACAAGCGGAAATTGATGGTGTCTGTTTCCGGCCAACAAAAATCTTTTCAACGATATTTTTTTGTCAGGCGAGATAAATAACAAAACGATATTAATTACACAGTACGGTTTCTGCCAACTGACAAAAACGAGTCATACCGTGTTTGTGCAGCGTGATTAAACGATGTTTCTCCAATCCAATTTATTCTGCAATCCTATAAAAAAATCGCATACAATCCAGTACACCCATGTAAAACGAAAAGCATTAAGGGGTATTAAAAATACATTGTAACAAGTAAGTTAATGATTAGCACGACAAAGGTTCTAATGATTAGAACCTTGACGAGTTATAAATCTGATTTTGTTGTTTTGTCACAAATAAATCGATAAAGTGTTTATACTTTTGTCTCGTCATTTCATGAGACGGAAATTAATAGACCAAGGTGGCTATACTTGATACCAAGCCTTCCTTAAACTTCCCTGCTTTGTGTGGCCATTTATATTTCAAATTATCTTACCATTGTGCTATCTAGAAACGTATGTAATGTAAAGTGACACTCACATTGAAGTAACCAAACACGTTAGACTTTAAAAATTACAATAGTCAAAGGTGCCATATCGATATCGATAGTTTTTATTCAGAATTATAAATGCAACTTCAACTTTTTAGATCTCAGTTGTAATAACCCGATTTACCAAATAAATTATTATTTGGAGATCGTGAGATGCGGTCTGGTGTGACGTAGTTTTTGGAAAAACATTTTCTTTATCGTGCCAACCTTTCGATCTTTATTGAGATCATCTTCAGAGCCTGGGATTTATAAACATTGTTTAAATTTTACAAATACATGTAGGATGTGGTGAAAAAAATGAATTTATACGATGCTAAAAAATTTTAGATTAAAAAATTAATGAAGTTATACATTGCTAATTTTTTTAATCTAATTTTTTTTCAGTGTATAAATCCATTCTTTTTTTTTAATCTAAAACTTTCTAGCAAATTCATTTTTTTAATCTAAAATTTTCTAGTATTGTATAAATTCATTTTTTTCTCATCCTACATATATATGTGAAATTTAAATAGTGTATATAAATCCCAAGCGGTGAAGATGATCTCAATAAAGATCGAAACGTTGGCACGATAAAGAAAATGTTTTTCTAAAACCTACGTCACACCAGACCGCACCTCACGATCTCCAAATAATCATTGGCTAACGGTCACTAAACACCACACTTACCTAATAAATGTGAATTTCATTCACGGAATCTCAAAAGGAGAAAACGACGGATAGTGAAGTCATTCAATTTTTATCAGCTAGCAAAACACAAAAATCAGATGCTTCTTTTATAGGGTTTGTAATGGGAAGATTCAGATTCAGATGTAGCGGAATTATATTAAGATTTTTTTTATATTATGTTATCTATTTTGGAAAACAGCAGTGATTATATACATGCTTAAGAACATTAGAAGATATTTTTGCTATTATTCCTAGCTACAAGTCGGGGAAATACAGCGAGAACAACTTTCTCAAATTATTATATATCCCAATTATCAAATAGAGTTCAACTGGATCTAAACCCTACGTAAAAAATGAAAGAATCGGGCATACGGATCTCGGCGAGTCCGTGAGGCTGAACAACGTTTAAAATTTACTTTTAGCATTACAAAACGTTTACATTACAGTAGTTTAACAATTTTAAGGAAAATGTCAAAGTTATATTTAAATTCACTTAATATTTGTATTTATTGGTTTATTATGTATATTGTTTTATTTGTTACTGCTTATTTTACAGTACCCTTTACAGAAATGTATGAATACAAATATTGTTAATGTGGGAAATGTAAATTAATTAAGTAGGAAATGTAAATTCTATGTTTTCAGGAGGACGTAACGTCCAACTACCCGTTAAGTATCGCGGACGAGGGGTCAAACACATTACAATATAATTTTCATATTATTCTCTATTAAAAAAGTGTTGGATAATGCCGGGATTCGAACCCAGAACCGTGAGCCTGGCAAATACGAGAAGGAAGCCCTGATCTCGGCGAGTCCATAAAATTGTGCTGGATATTTAATATTTGTTTTCACGCGTTAAAAACGTTTAAATTAAAATGGTACAAAACATTAAAAAGTTTAACATATTACAATCAAATTTATTTTTCAAAATAAGTCATTCCATGATATATAATTTTTTTAGAAAGGAAATAATATAAAAATATATTTAATATTTGTTTATTACTGTGTAATGACTATTTTTACTTATTACAATGTATTTTATATTAAACTTGATAATAATTTGTAAATATAAATACCAGTAAGTAGGGAATGATATCCAGTAAGTTCCATCTAGTTTTATGGTAAAAAAAGGATTATCTAAGGAAGTAGAAAACAAATTTAATCATAAAAATATATTTTTGAAAGACTAAAAAAATATATGAATAGTTTTCATTCACAGCCATCAATTACACATTAACATTTCATTATAAGATAGTTTTTAGTTTGTTTTTTTACATAATAGCGATTCCAGAATTACTCAACACACACTGACTAGAACAACAACTCAAAATTCACGATTTTGTCACATGGTCGGTCATTCATACAAGATCGTGCCGACTGGCTTTACGTTTATGTTTTTATGTGATCCGTCAGTCTTGAAAATAAGTTTTGAAACATCAAACACAACAAAGAGTCCCGTAAATATTTTGTTCTATCACAAAACATAAAAACACTTAAGTACGAGAACGATGTAACCAACGAAAACTTTATAATATACATTCGCGCACTCATTAACGTACATCACAAGGGCTTTAGTATCATACAAAATTGAAGTTGTAATAAATAGTCAATTCGGCGTTTTAATTGTCGTCTGTGATTCCGTAGTTTATGAATGTGGTGCACCATTCTCGTGCCGACTCTCTTCCTTCGCAGCACATCGGGTAGACTATGACACTCTTCGTCTCCTTGGCGCACCTCTGGCAAGTTGTCTCCGTCGAATCCTGAAACAACAAGTTCGTCGGTAACGCCCGTTATTCAGTATTTGTTGCCTTATGAGTTTTATTATTTATCTCTATCTACCTTGACCTATTATGTGATGTTAACGACGAAACAGTTCGAAGAGCCTGACCTAATTCGAAAAGCGCTCCGGTCACGGCAAAAATTCTGATAACTAATTCAGATAACTGAAATCACCCTTTCCTCAATTATCCAGGGTTCCCCTAATTAGTAGACAATTCGTACAAACTGAAAACGTCTGGATTTTTTCTGATAATTAACCTTTTACGGAAACAAATTTACTTCATTCGCTTTCAATACTCACTGGTCCATAACTCAATAATAAAAATTAATCTATTAGATTTCGTGGTCCGATTGACCAAATAACTTTTTTCAATTAATTAATCTTTATAAAATATTAATTGATTGAGATAAAAAGCTAGTGTCACGAGCGGGATTCGAACCCACGACCTTCGGCTAAATACTCCGCTGCTCTACCACATGAGCTATCGTCACGATGTATCAGTTTATCAGAATCGGCCTTTTCCGATTAACCAAAGATGACTTCACCAATGCCAATTTTTTGTGCATTGCTGCTATTTGAGAGTAATACATTTTGGATTGATTTTTTCTCCAGGATTCAAGAACCTATAGTAAAACAGCCCAAATGAAGCCCACCAAAGAGTCACCATTAACTTTTTTGATGAATTGGGGGATTTGGAAAATGTGGTGCTTCTTCTCCTTTGGAGCCACTGTCCAGAATGTCTGCTGTTGACGTAGAGAATCCGCTTTTCATCACTTCACAACAATGATTTTTATTGGTGGTCGTTTAATACATGAGCAACTCAACTTTCGAGCTTCATCACCTTTCCATTTGCCTTAACGTGGTCAGGGACGGAAGATTTGCTAACTGAAAGGTTCTCTGCAAGTTCTCAAAAAGTCGCTCTGAGATTTTCTTAGACCAAAGTTCTCAGAACATAATCATCTATGTAAGAAATCCTTCCTCGACCTTCTTTATCTAAAGTCTCCCTTTCAAAATGTTTTAAATCATCTCTGAACTATGTTCAGACTGTCATCGCCCCAGACTTCATTAACGTTTTTAGCCGTTTAGGCACCGTTCCGATCGAGTTTAAACTCTTAAAACGAAATTACGCGTTGACATCTTAGTAAAATTGTTGCCAAGTAACGAAATGTGTTGACATTCGTACACAAGAATAATACATCAAACGTAAACAGTTTATTATATAGAGGGATAATTAAAGTAAACCTGTATCATTTTCCGTACAACCCAATAATTTCCTGCTCTCCCGCGAAAGCCTAATAAAAAATGATATTCCCGGCGTGAGGAACACTTGAAAACACGGGCATATACAAATATAAAACATTTAATACAAAATAACTCGTATAAATAGAAATTAACAACAGTCCACGTACATCGTTGATAAAATCAAAAAAATTCACCATATAAAAAGAAAACTGACCGACGATAACAAAGGCCAATTGGCCTGACCAATTTAAAAAAAAACCTGATTTTATCCACCTAAAGCACCGACAAACGCCGACTTTTGCACCCCTCACGACCTTTAAAAGAGATTTGACTACATAACAATCGCACAGACACACTGAATACGTCGAAATGCCACTAACCAAGCCAACGAAAGTAACGACCAAATTACAGGTTTATCCCTCCGCAGACTACACGAGAAATTTTACAATTTACTTTTTGTTTTTACTGCAATTTAATATGTATATCCCCAGTTTTATTGAAATCGGATTTCCAAAATCACATTGAATCTCAATTTAAAGTGCAGGTTGGTCTGAGCAACAATTATTAATAAAAATTAATTACATATATTTTGCACTGGTCGACGATGTCGTCCCATTGCCGTTTTTCACGCAGGTATGGTGTCGTAGTCGCCGATCCGACGAAGAACGTCACAAAAACGATGCAGGCAAAGCAAACCTGTGAACATAAATTTTTACATCAAATTAAACATTTCTGCATTGCAATTTGCATGTTTAAACATCGAGGCGTGTATCAACGCTAAAACCAAAAAAAATATAGTAAGATGATAAAATGAGAAATTATCCTAATTAATGGGCGACCGCCGTAGGGAGAATTAGCCCTCCATGATAAAAGAGTTTTGAAAATCTCTTTGCCCTTTTTTTTTATTAACTAAGTCTGAAAAAAAAGTTAGCCGCCTCCGAGGAATGCAAATGTGGAAAATTAAATGATTTGCATTTTAAAACTATAAACCGAATCCGTCTTCCACTTTGACGGTCTGAATATAAAAACCCATAATTAACATGAAACAAAATCTTTCGAGGGCCCGACGACGCCGTAATCGATTAAGCCGTTAATGCAGTAATTTCTGTTTTCCTAGTATTTTCCTTTCACTGTGGTACCATAACCAATGCGATTAGTATCGTTATTTCTGTAAGAACGTGATCAATTTCAGTAAAGCTGTAGTTTTAACATCGGACTTCGAAGTATGAATTAAAGAATTAGATTAATGTAACTGATATTTTAAATTATTTGGTACCACATTCCATACAATTTTATCGCTGGAAAGAGTCCGGTCGTACTGATAGCCACTTCTCTTGATGGTGTAAATGTGTAATTAATTTTTTTCAGTACTGGTATTATCGTAAACAGTTATTCGATTGGCTTGTACTTCAGAATTTCAAAATGAATAACTGTCTTTTTACTACATAGTTATAGTGTATTTATATTAAGGTTTTGGCTTATTTATCATGGAAAGAACTAAGTATGCAAATTAAATAACATATATATGTTGCTTACAATTACTGTACTTGCAATGTTTGCTTTCGTTATTTACCAGTTAAATGCTCTTTAACTGTTAAGTAACTCTAATGTAATTGTTACTGATATAATTATAATGTACGACAAGTTCTAGTTCAATAGTTTTTAAATTTTTGTATCTTCGTCTTATGATTAATCTAGTACCAATTTCTAACAACTGGGCAAATATTAATGGAAATTAATTAATATTTATGAAAGGTATTGGTTGAGATAAAAAAGTCAGTGTCACGAGCGGGATTCGAACCCACGACCTTCGGCTAAATTCGCCGCTGCTCTACCACTTGAGCTATCTTGACTTCGATCCGCTCGGGCACCAACTGCCCTTCTCAACCTCACCTCTCGAATTTTCCCTCCTTTTTGCCATTTTTCAAATGTGTAATCTATTTGATTCTCGGCGACAAATGAGATGGCCACGGATTTTCGTAAAGATATACTCCAATTTAATTATTAAATCCATTACTGTTCGTGGTCCGACTGACCAATTAACTTTTATCAATTAATTAATATTTATGAAAGGTATTGGTTGAGATAAAAAAGTCAGTGTCACGAGCGGGATTCGAACCCACGACCTTCGGCTAAATACGCCGCTGGTCTACAACTTGACTTCGATCCGCTCGGACACCAACTTCCCATTTTAACCTCTCGAATTTTCTCTCCTTTTTGCCATGTCCTAGTGGATCGAAGTTCGAATCCCGCTCGTTACACTGACTTTTTTTATCTCAACCAATACCTTTCATAAATATTAATTAATTGAAAAAAAGTTAATTTGTCAATGGGACCACGAACTGTAATGGATTTATTAATGAAAATGTTAAATTAAAAATTAAAAATGTAGAACATACAATATGTTAGTGAACGTTATTTCGTCCGGGCTAAAATAAATTACTATATACCAAACGTCTAAAAAATATAGGTATTTTTCCGATCATACTATGAAGGTAACAGCCAAATTATCTCATTTATATTTATTGCGATTAAGCGACGATTAAGTTAAATTTATTGTGTTTTATTTTTTGTTCATAACCAATGGATAGTATTATTCGACTATAAATAGATAGAAGATTTGTGTCTGTACGTTCCGAAAAAAACTAAAGTTACTAAGTTTATTCTCCTCTTTTTATTAGTATTGAAATTGGGGTTCACATGTACTTTCAAGAGTCAGTTTCTTAATAGATTCGCAAAAGCAAGTCATAGTTTTTATAAGTTCCAATTCTAGATGTTTTATTGTTCTTTACTTTTTCCCAGAGAAAAAATTGTTTCACGATACCACATGAAACGTACATTACCATGATTGACTATCAATTTGTCGATTGTTCAATATACTTAACGATAAAGACCTATTTGAAATTCACGAGCGCTAGCAAAAACACACTCACAAATCATTCAAAGTGATGGATTAAAATTTATTAGATATGTTTGACACAGATACGCCAAACATAGTGGCAAATCGTAGAGTAAAAAGTGTTAGTAGGCATAATTTATGCAAATGTAATCAACTAACGCGGATGAATGATTAAACAGTTTAATAAAAGTTATCTGCACAGTCGTACAAATATTAGCTGTGAACCTATTTAAAAATTTTTAATAGAATCTTTCTCCTTTTCTTTGTATCGTTTGAAACATTGAAGATTTTTAATTATTTAAAAGTGGCCTTTCTGCTAATTTGAAAAGTACTTGAATTACTTACTTAATTAACTATAACTTGAATTAACTACTTAATTAACTCTTAAATTTAATTGACACTAAAGTATGTTTTGAGAAAAAGCCTACTTGTCGACAGAATATAAATGAAAGCTTATCAAAAATAAAATCGAGGGCCGATAAACAATTTTGTTTTAGCTAAATGGACCACCGCCCGGGTCGGATACAATTATAATTGGTTTGGTTTTAACGAATGATAAATTAATTGGAAAATTGATTAGAAGTGGGGTGGTGACACATTAGCCAGATTATTAATTCACGGAATCGGTTTTGTCGGAAACGGCTGAAAGGCCAGTACGTGGCGGTTCCCTTACCCGCATTCGAACTTCAACAACGTGGACAATCGAATTTTCCTCCTAAACATTCCGCCTACCATTACTGGAATCATTTGACAAAATGTCATTTTTAAATTTTATATACTTGAAAATGGAGATAAAATCAAAAATTATATAACTCATGTAAAATCTAAAATTGGAGCGTCGGTGGAACTCACTGTAAGGTAATCGTCTTGGGTTTTCGAATTTAGGGCAGCTAAATTCAAGCCTAACATACGTTCAAATGGGCTGCTTATTTTTACAACAAAAAAAACCCGAAACCCTGAGGGTTTACAAAGCTATATATAGACTGGCGACAAGTGTCGAAAATTTCAGGAGGCGTTTTTAGTTACCATATGCAACAAAAAACATCCTACAAACCCCTGTCCAAATCTCAACGGCAAAGAAGTAATTTCAGGTTTTGTGTTTTTTTTTCGACTTAGGCCCATTAGCTTGCTTTTAAACTTCAGTATTATTGACTGTAGGAAAATCTGGTTTGTACCATGTAAAAGAAAGTTAAATTTATTGTACGAAGAATTTTCTTTTCTTGACTTTCTCATATTTTAATCCTACTACTCTTGTATAACCGTAATCGATTCTACTCTTTAGCCTCTCTATTCCTCAGGGGCTCTTGTGGATAAAATAACGCACACAGAAGTACACAGAAACAAGATAAAACATGATATTCTATTTAGCATTCACACCACCCCAGAGTACTCGATATTTCTCGAGGTGATTAGGGATGAGCCCCTCCATTCATATTAACACCACCATATATGGTTATTCCATATATTTATTTCGAAGTTATAATTGACCGTAGACTTACTCTTTGCTGTTATATTTTTGTTAAATAGGAAGAATTTTGTTTTATTGGCTTTTATGTGAAAGGGTGGATTAGCCACACGAAGAAATAAGATAATGTTATTTATTAATTATTTATAACATATAAGTAAATGTAAAAAACAAAAATGTAAGTAATATTAAATATAGGTAATATATTATAAATAACGACCAAATTATAAAGCTTTTTATGATCAGTACATCAGATAAGACCGACATTCCAAATGTCTATCACTTGAAATTGCGAACAAGTTCTATCGCACCAAACTATAATATTATTTTCACTTTATGATAATTAAAACCAAAAACCATGTTTCCAAGAAAGAAAATTTTTAATAATTAAGTATTTGGTCTTGGCTGTTTGGATTTCAAGCAATTATAATTTCACCGTCCCTTCACAAAAAACTACACTGTACGTTTTACTTTCGGTGTTGACAGAAAAAAGTCTTTGTTTAATAAATACTAAATTCGAGATAAAACAGATGCTGAATTTCATAAGTTCTTTACCATAGCAGATGTAAAGAAATAACATCATTAGGAACTTATGGGCAGGTATCCCTCGTGCTTGGCAGCATTAACATGCAGTATGCATTTTATTCAATGGCATAATCATACAGAAATTTATTGTACTGTGTTTTTAAAATTCTGCTAAATAAATATCAAAATTAATATTTTTTAAAAAATTATTCCTAATCTTTCCTTATTAATCTTTCCACTGAGAAGTGTGGGGTGTTTAGTGACCGTTAGCTAATGATTATTTGGGGATCGTGAGATGCGGTCTGGTGTGACGTAGGTTTTTAGAAAAACATTTTCTTTACCATGCCAACGTTTCGATCTTTATTGAGATCATCTTCAGGTCACTATCAACACGACACACAAGAATGACACATCTACCACAAAACACTTTGAAGATGTTGTTTCGAGGGGCAATTAACACTTGCGGATTCCCATAAAACAAATTTATTGGAAAAAGTAGATACCGCTCCTTTTCAAAAGTTTACATCGCCATTTGCTTCTATATTAAAATGGAGATAAAAGCGGACGTTTTAATAAAATAATGATTAATTGTATGGTAGGGGGCTAGAAACATAATATGTCCCATTCAAACACAATAATCAACTTTTTATAAAGCCAGTTAATATTCGACAGTTCACGAAGAAAAAATAATAAAACAGCTAAATTGGCTGAGGTGGATCTTGCAGGAGCTTGAAAAGGTCTTCCCAAAGGAAAAATAAAAAGACTGTAAAAGAAGCGGATTAAGATGTGCAGTTCAATGCCTGTAAAAGACAAATTTAATTCCAATCCCTAATGAAAATAGCAGTCAGTAAATAGTAAAAACAAATATAAAATTTGTATATTTAATTTAGGTCTGCAAAGTCTTCTTCGTTTGCGTTTTGTGACTCCGTTTATAAATCAGCAGATTAAAAGGTACGTGAAAACGTCCGCTGTCAAATGGAAGGTCGAATAATTTGTCAGCTGGAGGCTGTCATGTGCGAGATAAATTAACCACACAAACCAGTTAATTTTTAACGCCATTCTAAAAATCTATAATATTTGGCCATACGCTATTAATTTATGACTCACTTCCAAAAAAGAGTTTGAATAAACCATAAACCATTTTCTAGATTATTGTGTCGTCGATGGTAAGTATTTCTGTTTAAGAACCAATGTTAAGATTATGGTTGGTTGTGCCATACTTTAATATAGTTCGAGTATCTCCATATATGTTTATTTGTAAAAACATTTACTGCGATTTTAGTAAATTGCAGTTAGTTCTTTTTTTTAATAAAATGGCATAAATCAAGGATATTTTTTCTTCTTTAGGAAAACGGTAGAAAATAAAAGTTCGAAGAAAATCTTAGCAACGTATGGAGACGATTCTGTCAAGATCAACTATGGCCATTTTGAACTACAAAGTACAACAAAAAAGCTTATGAATACCAAAGGAAAATATCTCGAAAATACACTATTTTAAATATAACCGGCAAGTGTAAAAATTGAGGTACTTGCAGTTCGCAGCAATTCATCTCACCTGTTTATAATTAGTCCTGTCATTTACGAAAAATCATTTCAATTAAAAAAATATTTTAGCTTTTTACGTTTTAACTCGGTAGTTTTGTCTGTCATATGTGGTCTAAAATAAAAGAAAATTAACGGACCAAAATATCTCGGCAATCTACAGGTTCTTTATAATTACTACTTTAATAATTACTTTATAATATAATAAATTTTCCCCAGTAAGTCAGAGATCAGGGATGCGGTCATCAAAGCAAATAAGTTTTACAACTTATGCCAAGGTATGAGGCACGCGAAGAGATTCATAGAAGGACCATCCGCAAAACTTAAAAAAGAATTACTGGAAGACAACCGCAACCAAACCAGGATTCTGATTGGATCATGACAGGGCACTGCCACTTAAGAAAGAACATGCACCGGATACAGACAGAAGAATCACTGTGCAGATACCATGCCAGGAAGAGGAGGAGACCGCAGAACACATTTTATGTTTCTGTGAAGGTCTATGTAGGTGCAGGTTCTAACTAGGACAAGAAAAACCACAAGCAAGATCCTACACCAAGGAACCGCTGGCAAAGGAGGCTGGTTAATAACCTGAAGTTGGCCAGTGAGTAGTAGGCCTTGTGGTCGCCTCTTTTATCCCTATCCCGTGTAAAGATTGCCCCTTGCTTTGATATTGTCACATGAAACGATACCTGGGTACCAGTCTGACACAGCGCAGATAAGATTGTTCTGCCAACAGTAGGCCATGGACAGCTTTGTCAAGACATCAACATGAAACCAATCATCAAATAAACTTTGATGATGTGGTTGTGGTGGTCAGGGAGAAAATCTTGAAAAGAAGATTATTAAAACAAATGTTACATATTAAAACTGATGTTAATTAACTAAATTTGAGAAGATATACCAATAATTAAACGCCCTCTACAGTTGCTTAATTTAGTCCTTTCTGTCTGTGTTGTGTCACTCTGTCTATATTCACAATTGGTTACCTCTCATTTAGTTACGTATATATTGTTGTTTTTTACCATTATCATGATAATATTTTATCTTTAATATTGTAACTAGAAAGTTATCCAACGTTATCTGATAATTATTGTGTTACTTATTATTAATTATAAACGTTGTAATTACTTGTAGAGCCCTGATTAAAACCTCAATAAAGGTTGAAAGCTTAGAATAAGTTACAAAACTTACTTGTTTTGATGACCGCATCCCTGATCTCTAACTTACTGGTGATATACTGACAGTCGATTCATCCTTCCTTCATAATACATTTTCACACAAAACCTTTAACTCTCAAAACCCAAACCCTTTGAAAAAGTGCATAACTAAGTGGTTTGAAAAAAGACATAATATTATGCATTAATATCGCGAAGTTTCCAAAATTAATTAGAAATCATTAATAATACCATTTACAAAAACGTCCAAACAAACCAATACCTTTTCGTCAATATGTATAACAACTCTAATATTACAAAAAATGCATGACTAGTTTTAATTTTAAATGATTTAGAAATAATTTTATCATTTTAAATAAATAAAAAATGGAATGTTTCATCAAACACAAATGGCACACTTATGGTTAATTCAATGTTTCGTTGCCTGCAGTGAAATTATCAAATGATGAAGCAATTTGCAAGCGATAGACATGCAAAGCAATCGTCAAACCAGATCGTTATCGTTACCGGACATCTATAAGTACCGAGTTGTACGATTCGGCACAAATACGATTATTAATAGTGTAACATGGAACACGAATATTCCTGTTCATACGACTCATGACATTTTGATTAAATCACACATGTTACGTTACATATTACCATAACAATATGTTTAGTATTCGCTTGGTATCATTTTGGTACAATGTCCGCTTTGTTTGACTGTATCTGAATTGGCAAGTAAAACATATTACCTTCGTGTAGTAATATAACAAAATATACCAAATTGTTGGCAAACATTTTATACAATTTTTTTTTCTCGCAACAAAAAGTTTTATTTCGTAATTAAATGACTGTTTACTTTTTTATTATGGCCGTTTATTCCCGAATATCGTTATATTGTTTTTTATTTTATATGGATCGTCAAGGATAATTCGTACCCCTAAAATAAAAAGCACAAAGATTGTATAATTACAGTAACCCATATAAAAATTTTTAAAAAACCTATGCCCAGTTTATTACTTTTGGAAGGCTTTTAAAATGTCTCAATTTAAAACAAAAAAGGAGTTAAAAGCCCTAATAATTCTGAGCAAATTCAAAAACCCTTTTATTTTGTCATCCATATTAAAATTCTAAAATAGAATATTTACAGTTCCCTTACTCGTATTATGGATGATTATTTAAGGTTGGAATTACTTCACTTATTATGTCAATATATAAATGATCATATAAAATTTAGCAATAAAGACGTAAAATGTAAATATTAATAAAAAGTAACTTAATCTCGTGATTGTAAAATGTATGAACTTATAAATCTTTTGTGATTGACTACAGTTCTGAAATTCTTTGCCTGAAATTACCTATATTTTTATAAATAAATCTAATCATGCTGTAAGGAAAATTATTTTTAGGCAATAGTTAAATCTTGTTTGGTAGAAGTTTGAGGATTTGTGAATTATTTTATATTAAAATATATGAAGACGTGAACTGTTTTTAAATAATTGGTGTAAATTTAAAACTTTAAATACCTTGTGTATTAACCTTGTGTGTTATTTTCGTATATTTAAAATATTTAAATATTTAAAATAATTTTTACGATATTGATTGCCTATTAGAGCGCCTAAGATATTCTTTTTAACGCCGTTATATGAAGTAAGGTAAGGCCAAATAAACCTACTTTAGGAAAAATGCTTCAATAAGAATTCAAAATTTGTAAAAAGCTTGATTCGTTATTTCATTTTATTATGTCTTAACGATTATTTTAAATCACTCAATTTTAAGAAGTCGTGTACCATTTTTATGTTAGTGTATGTCATGAAAATCATGAAATTATATTGAAAGAGAAATTATAACTTGTTCTACAATAGAATCAATCAACTGGAACATATCGGGTTGTCCGGAAAATAATGCAGGATTTTAAGTTTTCATTAAAAAAAATCTATATAAAATATTCTGTTTACGTTTACAGGATTACTCATTTGTATGAATGTCAANTTTTGATTAAAGAACATTGCTTTAAAGTAACTAGTTTCTTTTTTTTTGTTTAATACCAAAATCCTGCATTATTTTCCGGACAACCCAATAATATATAATACTTAAATGCTTTAAATTTTTGAACGTACTTCGAGAAAATCTTTAATAAATTCATATTTATAAACTTTCTTAAAAAAATAAATAAACATAAATAAAAAGTGAAAATAAAAAAATAAACATAAAGGTAATTTCGTAAAATAAATTAATAAATGTTGATATGTAATACATTACTTACAAGTGATATATGCGACTGCATTATTGTTCGATATGTAATGGTCCAGAATGAAAATAAAAATTCACTTGACACTTTTGAGGAAGTCGGTATGTAGAAACTATAAGAGAAACAATCGGCGAACGTTTTATTGTACCGAGAGCGCTCACAACTCTTCGATGCCCGTCTCTGGGGAGAGGTCGTGCCCAATTTGTATATATATTCTCTAATGGAAGGTCACGCGTGAAACGTGACGTATCGCGTGCTCAACCACCTCTTTTGTATACTTGAGCCAGGGTGGTGAATCGTTCGGTGACAGACGGTCTGTTCGTCGACAGGCCGTCCATCGAGCACAAAACGAGGGATCATGTCCACTATTGCGCGTTTAAATGATCCTCTTGGATAACTTGCGCCTGTCTTTTTCCGGGCAAAAATCATCTTACAGGAATTGGAGAAAATAAATTGCGGTTGGGACTCGGGAGTTGCTGAAGCATGGATAGATTTTCATACAGATTTATCTTCGCTTAAAAACACTCAAATACCTCGATATCTGCAGCTTTCCTCGTTGGACTTTGTGGCTGGAGAGGATTTACCTGAGATAAAACCAGAAACTGTTTTACTTAGTTTAGATAAGTACCCTTCATCATTCATTGAATTGATAGATCACCGTCATAGAGCAAATTGATCAGAATCATGGCATATGTCTTATGTTTCACTCGTAACTGCCGAGTTCACGCTAATGAATACAGTTTTCTTGAACTCTCAGAACTACGTAAAGCATCCACCTGTCTTTATGTCGCCGTTAAGAAAGAACTAACAACAAAAATTCTCGCCGATTTGAAATCACTCGCTCCATTTATAGATTCAAAGAGTATCGCCTCGAGTGACCATTTGCTGCCCATGTCTGCCCATCATCCACTCCGGCCTTTCAAGTCCCAACGCTAGAAACATCCCCTCGTGACGTTGCGTCGTTAGACGTTAATTCCCAACTTAATTTCTGATTTTGACAGAACATTGACCAACCTAATAGCATCATCAGTTTTCTCTTGTAACGAGAATCTAACTTCTATATTTAAGCTGTTTATATATCTTTACTTGTTGACTATTTAAATAATTACACGACTTTTTTGTTATTAATACAATATGATGTGGATTGATTTGTATTCATTAAACTTAATTTTATTAATTTAATTCGTAAGTTTATCCTCATCGTTGCTTTGTGAGCTGTCCATTGAATGTCACAGTCCCTTGCATCCACCATCAATAAATAATCGTCAGCAAGAGCAGATGCTTCTCAAGTAACAAGCAACTCCTTCAATATTAAGTTGAAAACTATAACCCAAAATCCACAGGCTCATCCTACGGGCAACCCCTTGTGACACTAATAGTACTTTTCTCGTTAATTGCCTTCATAGATCCACATCTGTTTAATTTTTTAACATTTATAATGCTTCCACTGACATATCATAGCCGGCCACAACCTCAGCATTGATTGCCGCCCCTTCTACATCCAATGATATTAGCAAAATCATTTCATCAGAATAAAAATAGTTTACTACATAATCTTTAATAACCAAAATGGCATAAGTAGTACTCTGTTGAGTTTTGAATCCATACTGCTTTTGACTTAGCACTTTTGAAGTAGAGCATTATCTATCAATAAAAATTTTTTCCAAAACTTTATCCCACCAACAGTATCCTTATAGGTATGTGTTTATTTTAACTGTGTAAGTCCTCTTACCAGGTGAGGTATTATTGTAACAATAGCATGCTTACGTCTGATTGGGAAAACTCCCCTTCTAAGAACCCATTATACGGAGTGGTAATAAATCTGCGATATCTAATTAATATTGTTTTATTTACAATGTTTGTTGAGCTTTGTTCGGATCATATGAATCTATTGCATTCCTTCTTTTTATGTTGTTTTGATATCATTTTCTATTAGAGGGGAAAGTTTGGTTTCTTTTCTCAACATTCTTCGGTAAATTCACCGTCATTTTCATTATCATCGTCCAATCTTACCTTATGTCTAAATTTCCTCTTGGGTTCATAAAACGGACACCCAGAATTCCCCCTTCGTTGAACCCATCTGGGTATATTACAAGTGAATCTGATGAAAAGAAATTATTTAATTCCGTTTTAATTAGTTGTTTGGTTGAGAATGGATCCATACGGATCTTGTCTATTGCTCTGTTTGCTATGTTAATTTTTGAAAATATGTTATCCGGGGAAATTTTTTAGATAGCTAAAGTTAGGTAGATCGGTAATGTAAGAGTGAGCTCTCGACGTCCCTCATCATGTTCTCTTCTCCTGGAGAATCATCGAATAGAAAAGCGACTATTTTCAAATCAGCATCTCAGTTGGACGCTTGAGAAATGGGGTCTGTTCTCTTCTCGGATGAGTGCCGGTTTGGCTTGATGACCGGTACCGTGTGCATGGAGAAGATGTGGAGAACGCTTTGCTTCATGTGCCATGCCAGCCACAGCCGTTGGAGTCCACGCCCGTACCGAACTGATTATCATACAAATGGATTTTTGACTGCTCTAAGGTATATTGAGTTCTTCTGGAAGCCATGGTTCCATTTATTGGGGACAACATTGTGTTAGTGCATGATGTTCGACCGCATGTAGCTCGAGTTGTCACCCATTACTTGGATTATGTAGACCACAATGAATTGCCCAGCACGTTCTCTTGACATGAATTTTATAGAACACTTATGAAACATGTTAAAGAGACGGGATAGACATTGTTCGCCGCCTCCAACATGCGTTGAACAGCTTCATACTGCTCTTGCTGAAGAATGGGGTTCTGTTTCACAAGACGAAATCCCACTCGATACCTAGGAGTCTTAAGGACCTCCGCGAGGCCAGAGGAGGTAATATTCGTTATTAAGAGTAAAACCAAATAATACATTGTAAGTTAAATGTTAATCTATCGCGCTATGATTTTCCCGTGTTTAAGTGAATTTTGTTTCAAACCATCATAACTTAATTTTTTCCCTAAAACTCATGAATTTCTGATCTCTTTTAATTTGGTTTATATTAAAATTAATTACTCAAGTATACACATTTTTTTTAAATGAAAAATTTGTGTCACAGGCGGAATTCGAACCCATGACTTTCGGCTAAATTCGCCGCTGCTCTACCACATGAGCTACCGTCACTTCGAACGCCCATGCCACAAACTTCCCATTTATAAAGATATAATTAAGATAAGCTGATAAAATATTTAAAAAGTTAGTATTAAAATTAATATGTTGTAATTAATATTACCAAAAATACGTTACATATAATTTGAAATAAACAACAAAATACGAGTGTCCGGTTTTTTGCCTTTGAGTGTATATAATATTTATATATTATTAATATTTATATCATATTTAAATTAAAAAGTATAGGTATTAATGGCTAGTAAGTACAAAAGTGATACTGAAAGCTCAGTAATTGTTTTTATCTTTGAATGTATTAAAACAAAAAAAATCACATATTCCTTAAATTCTTATAGACTTGTTACTAATTAAATAAATTATACAATAACTTAAAAGATGTGTGCGTCTAGAATAATGAAACAATAATTTAGGTGAACTTAAGCATTACACAATACTTGCTGTTGCTGCCACAATTCGTGAATTTAAAAAGGATTTATTTTTATTCAAGAAGCAAATAGGCCAATATTAACACCATATTCATAATTCAACTTGTTTATGCAAACGCAGTCAAGATTAATTCAAAATTGAAACTAAATCGTATTCATTTCTTCGTGAGATAAAATCATTGCAGTATTTAACGTTGTACAATAACATCGGTAATCCCTAATTCGAATTTCACTCACTACAAAGGGCTTTAATCCAATGATAAGGATATGCAAATTCGGTGTAAAGGCGTTAATCATTCTGTGTGAAGCGTAAAGATGAGAGGAATCTATTTCATCACATATCATAACAGGGATATGCGAGACAGGCAATTAATCTAATAGTTCCTGCTCCACCATCATCTAACATTAATATGCATGCGGTTTTGTTCAGTATATTGGTATATATACTGCTAGTAGAATCCACGTAGTTAGCTTGTTTTGACTATTCAATTTAATATTTTAGTGTTTTCAGCGCGACAAATTAACTAAATGTGGGTTTTATTTATCAATCACAAACCTTTTAGGGCAATTTATAATTTCGCATATTAATGGGCGTATCATCAACGATTTGGTAACTCTGTTACTCTGCGATACTTACCATAACAGATGACAATTAGGCAGTCTACTTGAGCCTTCATATTTTTAGTCCTGAAGTAAGTTTATTTTTAGCCGATGCTGTTGTGAAGGAAGTGGACGTCGGTTTTTCCAGCAATGATGGTTGGTTTCTAAATCTGGGTAGAATTGAAAGCTACTAAGGATTTGATAATAATACACACAGGTTGTCCACATCGCGCCGTAGGGCCTCCATACTATGGAACTCCTATAATTGAGGAAGACACGTCTCTATGTTACCTTGACAGTGTTCTTCTCTATGGATGATGAGATCTACGAGTTGATGAACCTGTATATTGTTTTGCGTTTCGGCTTTTCACCGTCTACAATGCTTAAAAGCCATTTTGTCTTTTTGTTAATAGTAGACGCGCGAGCTAAACTCGGCTAAACAGGGCTGGACCGGTTATAAGCTGGATATGCCATCATCAGATCAAAGTAGAACAGATAGAAAGAAATCGTAATGACTGATCACAAGGTCCAACGACCTGTCGGCCGGAAAGGGACAACGAAAATTAATTAACTAAATTAGTTTAATTTCACTCGCCCGTTTGTTATCCGGTTTCAAAGGTTTGAAATTGTGCAATTTCAATTGAGTTGTAAATTGCTGTGAGCCTATATTTACAATCAATTGCGAATAATGTTGAATGTTGTCATTTTATCAAAATCCAAAAGAGACAAATCTTATATTTAACTGATTCAAAGCGTAATTATAATTGATAATCATTGTTCATTATTATTTAGAAGTACCGTACACAGTATAGACATATAAGCTAATCTAATAAAATAATAAACAGCATTACAACATTTCTTGAAAAATAACCATGTGAGTTTTTGTTGTTTATTTTTCGCCGTTTATGGTTCGCTTGATTAAAGCCATCTTCGGGAGATATTTAAGTATATTTTTTGAGTGCCTAAGACGGAGAAGGATAAGAATAGCTATATCACCCC